TATATGTATATATATATATATATATACGAATTATTTTCTCGTAGTATATAAAATATCATATAATCGAGAATACTTGAGAGATTATGAAACTCGTATGCAATTACCATTTCATCAAAGAAAATCACGTGGAAAAGTAATTATCGTGTCGGATGTTAAAATTATCTTAAATACCTCCATTGTATTCTTTAAATTGTAGACACTTATGGAGACCTAAATAACTGACCATATACTTGTTTGTTCAAAATTATTTCTTGCAAAAGTAGAAAAAAAAGGAGAAAAAAAAAAAAAAAGAAAAAAACCTTACATCGATAGATTAATTATATATTAAAGTTACAGATTTATTTTTAATACACAGATTATAGAAAAATAAAATTTAAATGTCATTATTATATCTTTGAAATCGTAAACACTCTCTTATGGTGATTTAAATAATCGATTAATACTCTTATTTGTTGCAAAAATAACAAAAAATAAAAAAATAAACTTACATCGATAAATATTACAACGAAAATATTAATAATTTATTTTTTCTTTTTTCTATTAAAATTGTAATAAAATAAAATAATAAATACCACCGTGGTGTATTATTTAAATCCGATTAATATTCTTATTTGTTGCAAAAATACAAAAAAAAAAACAAAAAAAAAACGAAATTAATTATTAATCACGAACGTTACAGATTTATTTATTTATTCTTTTTCTTTTTATACAGATTACAGTTAAAGTTAATCGTTATTGCAAGATTAATTATTTTTATATCGATTCCACCCCCCCACCCCCACCCCACTCCGCACGTTTGGTGTATTTTATATTATTATACGTACTTATTTATAATTATACGATTGATCGAAATTAATGTCATTATTATAGCAATGCATTATTCAATGTTCGTATACATACGTGTGCAATAGTGATTTTGATTTATGATGGGTACCTTATATTGATGCAAATGAAATGGATTAATTATCGGTCGAATAAGCACGCTGTACGAATACCAAATTACACTTACGTATCTCTAAGTCGATTTAATGTCATTAACGTACTCTTAAACACAATGACTACAGTTGTATCTAATTTATACCTATGTATATATTAGATTTGAAACGTAAAATGACATGTCTTCCTGCATAAACGTACGTGAATTAATTATACGAATGAAAAAAGAGAAAAAAAAAAGAATTTTACTTTCATTTCCATACATTTGTTTTTTATTATTATTATTATTATTATTATTTATCTTCTTCATTCTGTCAACGAATAAATTCATTTATCTTTTTTTGTTTTTAGTTTATTTAAATTATTATCAATATTGGTAGCATATAATTTTAATGAATTCGATTAAATTTATTTTTGAACGTAATTTGATGATAAATTTATTTATAAAAAAAACAATATTATATAAATGTTATT